AGCCACACAATCTCGGTAGTGGTTTGTATCATAGCCCGGCATTCAATTTTCGCAGTTGATTGAGCAATTTGTTTATGTTTCTTGCTTTTCTAAAAGATAAGATAATTATCGAGAAAAATGCAGAATCCTGTGGTAGATTTGCGATCACTCGAATTACCTACAAAATCGTAGTCTGTACAGGCTTGGAGCTCAAATGAGGTGGAAGAGGAGAAAAATAAAGCTTTGTAACAAGTATCCTTGATACGACGAACGATGCGCAAAACGGCAACGAGATGAACAGAATGTGGAGCACTCAAAAACTGACTAACCATATGTACTACATAAGTAATGTCTGGGCATGAAATTGTTAGATATATCAATTTTTCAACCAGTTGCCTATAAAAGGTTGGGTCAGGAAGAGCTTCTCCATCGGTAACCCGAAATTTGGCATTGACTTCAAGAGGGGTATCAACTCTTTTTGTATCATCTTGAAGTTGAGAAACAAGCTCTGAAACATATTTTAGCTGTGACAACAGATAGCCACGAGTAGAATAGACAACTTCTAATTAAAAGAAATACCACAAGAAACTCAAATCTTTCATTTCAAAGGTGTTATTAAGCTTATGTTTGATTTTGTGAATTGTCTTCATATCATCACCAAAGATAATAATGTCATCCACGTATGGTAACAAGAGAACCCGTCCTTCAGAAGTTTCGGACACAAATAGAGTTGCATCATGATGACTTTGTCGAAATTCAACCGAAAGAATTTCATTACGAAATGTATCAAACCAAGCATGACGTGCTTGTTTGAGGCCATATAAGCCATGTCAAAGTTTATACAATTGTTTTCTAGAATCCACAACTCCAGGAGGTAACTTCATGTATACTTCCTTATCAAGATCAACATTGAGAAAAATATTTTTGACATCTAATTAACAGAGAGGCCATTGCTGAACAGAAGCTACTGAGATTAGTGTACAAATTTATGTCATATGAGCAACGGGAGTAAAAATTTCTGCAAAGTCGATGTCGTATTGTTGATTGTAACTTTTTGCCACCAGACGGGCTTTGTATCGTTCAAGGCTGTCATCTATATTAGTTTTAATTTTATATACCTAGCGACAACCTACAACATTTTTTCCTTTCTAGAGAGGTGCTAGGCCCTAAGCATGCATACGCTAGAGAGCATTTAACTCATTAATCATTGCTTGTTGTTACTCAAGTTGACATGTAGCTTTTTTGTAAGTCTGAGGTTCAAAAAAAGAATGAACAGAAACAAAGAATGCTTGATGCGGAGGAAAGAAGGTTTCATAGTCAGTAAGGCGGGCAGGTGGGACAGAGACCCGGGTGCTCTGTCTAAGAACAAGAGCGGCAGAGGATCAATAGGTGCAGGGTTCTAATCAGGACTGTCAGCATGAGGTAGCGGAGTTCCTTCCAGGACTTCAAATGGAGGGACACGGGTGGAACGACTAGAGGAATTGAATAGAGTCAAAGGACACCAAGAAAGAAAGGTGAGAGGGTCAGGGATCATATATATTTTCAAAGAATGGAATGTATTCAAAAAACACCACATGTCGGGATACCCAAAGTCTTTTGGTCATGGGGTTATAGCATTGATAACTTTTTTTATGATCAGGATAACTTATGAAACAATATTTGACAGTTTTTGGAGAAAACTTATCTCTCTTAGTTGGGGGTAACAAGACAAAGCAAGTGCAACCAAATACACGGAGGAGGGAGTAATCAGGTGATCGAGTAAAGAGTTTTTGAAAAGATGTTTTGCCACATAAAATGGAGGATCGCATGATATTAACGAAAAAGATTGTTGTACGAATAGTTTCTGCCCAAGATTCTTTTGGGACAGATGTAGAAAAAATAAAGGATCTTGTGGTTTCGAAGATATTACGATTTTTCTGTTTGGTAACACTATTTTGTTTTGGTGTATAAGGACAATTTTTTTGGAGTTTAATGTTTTTATTAGTAAAAAACTATTGGAGTAATCCACGAATATATTCCTCTCCAGAATTTGAGCATAAAGCTTTGATTTTAGTGGAGAATTGGGTTTCTATATATGAATAAAATTGGGAGAAAATTTTATAAAATTTAGTGCGATTATTCATAAAAAAAACTCAAGAGTATGTTCATCAATAAATGTTACAAAATATCGTGACCCTCCTTTAGATAGAATCGATGCAAGACCCCATACATCAATATGAACAAGATCAAACATAGAAAATGAAATGGAAGTACTTCGAGAAAAAGGTAACACATGAGATTTAGCAAATTTGCAAGTTGCACAATGTTGGACATCAGTAAAAAATTTATTTCTAACCATACTAAGCACATTGCGAGAAAATAAAAACTGTAAACGAGAACCAAAGATGTAATCAAGGTGTTTATGCCATAGAAATACATCATCAATAGTAGAAATAGCAAAAACATAAGAGGTTGGCATATACAGATAACCCATGTAGTACAAATTTCCAACTTTACGCCCAGTCCCAATCAATTGCCCTGATTGCCGATCCCGTATATAGTAAGAAGATAGAGAAAAAAGAACATTACAGCTCGAATGGGTAATTTGACCGACAGACAATAAATTCATGGCAAGGGAATGAATATGATAAACATCATAGACCCTTAATTTACCAGAAGGGTCAGAGGTTAGGGATGTGGAGCCAATTTTTGAAACTTTCATAGTGGCTCCATTAGCAGTATATCTAGTATCAAAAAAAGACTTACAATCAAACTAGGATTGACTCGTTGGAGGTCATATGATGAGAAGCTCCTGAGTCGATCAGCCAAGTGTTAAAAACATGGTTATATGAGAAAGAAATGGTGGGTTCAAAGGCCAGATGTGACCGGAAAAGCATAGACTGTACTTGTTCAAGTGCAAAGGTCACAGTTGGTGAAGCAAGAGTGGGACTGTGACATCCAGTTTGAGTTGGTGGATACTTGAGAGAGATAAGAGGGAGAAAGAGAGAGAGAGAGAGAGAGAGAGAGAGAGAGAAATCAGAGAGATAAGAGAACGAGAGAGAGATAAAAGAAACCACACAAACAAAGACTGCGATTAGAGAGGTTTGAGAGAGATATCGTGATAGAAAAATTACTTAGAGTCAAGCTTCCACAGATCATAAATAACAGAGAAGGGTGAACTTGCATGGATTGCAGAGAAGGCCCAGCCAGTCATAGAGAAATAAAGTAAAGAGGGCCCGATAAGATTGCATATAACCAAATTCTGATACCATGTGATAAACAATCTTTATCTGTATTGAATTGATTGAATTAGAGTACAATACAATTGTAGATTTATAAAAAAAGTACAGGCAATACTTCTTAAAACTATATGATACAGTTTCTATATAGGTATAGCATACACCAGAGACAAGTCTCAATTATCTATTTACCATATATGTTGCAATTGTCATATCCGTTCATAAGAGAGAGAGAGAGAGAGAGAGGAGGAGAGAGAGTATTGCAAGTGGT